TGGTAGAGAATCTTTTTCTGAAGGTAATAAAACAAAAAAGTATGAAATTTGATGGAAAATTGACGAAATTATGCTCTCGCGAATTTTGATGTGTCAGTGATATTTACGAATCGGCAATATTGCTGATTTTGACTCCCATTTTAGGCCAATTACATTATTCCAGTCGACCAAATTCTTAGCTATTTCACTAGTATTACTTCTGTTCTATCGACTGAGCACAAGAAATTGCCCAGTCAGCTGTTTCAACTACAAAATAAAGTGATTGGAAATTGGTAATTTGGCCAATTTAACATAGAGTTCAAAATATTCCAATTTCAAAATAGGGTCCAGAATAAACGATGCAGGCATTCCTGGCACTAAACTAACATTTCCTCTGTTCATTAGTTATGTTTTCAGGCTTTACAAATGAATTCCATTTTGATTTTTTATTCACATAATGAATTTTTATTCAAACCAAAAAATAGAAGATTTACTGTTATGCAATATTGTAATAATTGTATAAATATCATCACCACATTTGTGAATGCATATTAGACTGACCAGCTGGCATATTAGACGTGTGAGGTCGTTTGTTTACTCTTGAACATCGGCAAAAATTTAACATTTCCGCTACTTTGAGCTTAGTTTCAAACCATTTCCAGTACTAAAACCAATCAAAAATCATCTCCATTTCTGTAATATATATACCATTCTATCAAATGAGACCAAGACATCGCAAATACAGTGGTCCCTCGTTTTTCGTAGTTAATCCGTTCCTGGAGTTGCTACTATTAACGAAATCTACGATTTGCGAATCAATTTTCCCCATAAGAAATAATGTAAATACAATTAATCCGTTCCTGACACCCAGAAGTATTAAAACAAAAAAAATTTTTACATGAAATATACATGTAGTACATAAACAATACAATGGGAAATGATGAATGAAACATTAACAGCATAACACTTACCTTTATTGGAGATTCTTCTTAGTGTATGGGCGACTGGAGGAGGAGAGAGATTGGATTGTTTATAGTTTGGAAGGGGAATCCCCTTCCATCAACACCTCAGGTACCATTTGCTTTTCTGGCGTTGCTTCTTTTCTCTGTTTCTTAATGCCACTAGGACCACCTTGAGAGTCACTGGAGTCCTGTCTCGCAAAATAACTGGAGAGAGCTCTGTTTCTGGCGTCTCTTTAACACTTCCCTAAAATGGCCCAAGACTTTGTCACTGTACATGTTGCCAACATGGCTTGCAACAACCTTGTCAGGGTGATGTTTCTCCATAAAGCTTTCCATCTTACCCCACATAGTAAAAATCTCTCTAATTTCTGAAGAAGGCACCTTCTTCCATCTCTCTTCCTCCTCCTCCTCTGCAGCAAGATTCTGAGCTGCGATCTGTTGCTGTTCCTGCTGAAGCTCTTGCAGCTCCTCAGTGGTGAGCTCTTCATTGTGGTCTTCCACCAATTCTTCCACATCCTCCAAACTCACATCCAACCCCATGGAACTCCCCAGTGCCACAATTGATTTAACAACAGACATAGGCTCATCAGGGTCAGTCCCAAACCCTTCAAAATCCCTCTTGTCGACACAATTTTCTCCAGGCAGAGTTCAAAGTCCTGGTAGTCACTCCCTCCCAAGCCATACCTATAAGGGTTATGCAATGGAGGATGCTGAAGTGTTCTCTCCAAAATTCCCTTAGGGTCAAGTGAGTGTCTGTGGTCACAGTCAAGAAACATTGCTTTGGTGTAGAGTTTTTTAAAGTTTGTAATGACCTGCTGGTCCATGGGCTGGAGGAGAGGAGTGGTATTCGGGGGCAAGAACTTTACTGTGATGAACCCAAACTCCTCGAAAATTAGGTCATCCAAGTTTGGAGGATGAGCAGGTGCATTGTCCATTACTAGCAGGCACTTGAGATCCAATTTCTTTTCCAGGAGATACTCCTTCACACTAGGGCCAAACACTTCATTGAACCACTCGACAGAAATTTCCCTCGTGACCCATGCCTTACTATTAGATTTCCAAAACACACAATTTACTCTTCATAACATTGTTTTTCCTGAACACACTGGGATTTTCAGAATGGTACACTAGTAATGGCTTCACTTTGAAATCCCCACTAGCATTAGCACAGAACATTAGCATCAGCCTGTCTTTCATAGGCTTGTGTCCTGGCATTGCCTTTTCCTCCTGTGTAATGAAGGTCCTCTTTGGCATTTTCTTCCAAAAGAGGCCTGTTTTGTCACAATTGAACACTTGTTCAGGTTTCAGTCCTTCAGCCTCTATGTACTCCTTGAATTCATGCACGTATTTTTCAGCCGCCTTGTGGTCCAAACTGGCAGCCTCACCATGCCTTGCCACACTGTGTATGCTAGTACAGTTCTTAAATCTCTCAAACTAACCTTTGCTGGCCTTAAATTCACTCACATCACCACTATTTTCAGGCATTTCTTTACCAAATCGTTGTGCAACTGCCTAGCCTTTTCACAAATAATCGAAGTCATAAGAGTATCTCCTGCTAATTGTTTCTCATTTATCCACACCAATAATAACTTCTCAACCTCTTCGAGTACTGGTGATCTCATTTTTGTCAGCATAGTTACCCCCTTTGCAACAACAGCATCCTTGATTTCCTTTTTCTTGGCCACTATGGAACATATGGTTGTGTAGGGTTTCATATACATCCTGGCCAGTTCGGCGGCACTTGTACCACTTTCATATTGTTCAATGATGTTTTTCTTAAATTCAATCGTATTTCTCACCTTCTTTACCACAGGCTTGGCACTAGGAGCTTTCTTTGGAGCCATGGTAGCTTATTTAGTACTTGCAAGCACTAAAATAAATAGAATATTATGAAATATTTCGCTGGAGCACGTGAGGGGACCTTCGCTCACTTGTAAACAATACCAAACTGGCTGCCGCCCCGGCTTACACCGTGCGTACGCATCCCAGACGAACTACTACTCGCGAGTCAACCTATGAAAAGCGAGCCCATGTTTATACAAAAATATCCCTATGATTTGTGAAATCTATGATTCCTGAGAACTACAAAAAGCGAGGGACCACTGTACAACTATAAAAAATATACGAAAAAAACTGTAAAGTCGCTGCTTTAATCGAAAATCATGGTCTCGTTTTTTTTTCTCTCATTATACACTGTGTGCTGCAGGATTTGTTTTATGTGGTGCGCACATACCACATAGATGTGTTCTCTCATATCTAGGCCCAAATGTACCGCGTACATCTTATCAGAGTGAGCTGAGCTCATGGCGTAGATCTACGGTTTGGACCCTCAACGTAAAGCCGTAGATCTATGGCATGGACCCTGAAAGGGTTAATTCTGTTTCTCACCCTTGGCTTACTTCCATTCACTTTCCATATTTTTATGGTATGAAGGAATTCCAATATTTATTGTCTTTTATTATTGCACTACAGTACAGTACCTCACAATATTATAAAAGCTTATCAGACTTTCATTACTTTTTTTTTTTTACAGTGACCATTATTATACACAAATATGCTGGCTGTCTCCCAGCAAATCAAGGTGACCATTATTATAATTAAAAAAAAATTCTGTTAATTCTTCTATGACATTTAGTTAAATGTCTTTTCTTATGAATTTCAGCTGAAGTTTTGGAGTTGGCAGGAAATGCTGCTCGGGACAACAAGAAATCACGTATCACACCAAGACACATTCTCCTTGCCATTGCTAATGATGAAGAACTACATCAGGTAATGTGAGGTTTGATTTTGAATCATTTTCATAATAAGTGATGGATCATTATTGAAAATGAATGTATCTATTCACATCTTTATATATAATAAGGTATTTTTATTTTCTGTTTAAATTTACCTTGAGAGTGACTGTGTAACAAAACTCACTCATATGAGTGTAGTACATCCACCCAAATAAAGTAAAAATATATTCTCATGAATTCTTGTTCTTCACTCTTGAGTGCATTTTTTGAGACCTCACCACATTCTTATTGTTGTTTGCCTACTCTTGTCTTCATTTCTCTCTCATGACCAGTTCATCTTGTTAGCCTGGCACCCTTCATCGAGGAGGAAAAATTTGATGATGATGGAGGTCTCTTAATCTATGAATTGAAGCTATTTTTCCCTACCTGGAGCCTAACTTGATTACCTCCCATTCTCCAGGCACTGTATGATCTACATGGTTTAGTTTATGTTTTTTCATATATTTCATTACTCTATCAAGGAATATCATTCTGTGGCTTGCTGATTCCCATCTAGTGAAGGCTAATCTGTCATTATGGACACCATCCATTCCTGGCCAGATGCAGTACTGATTAACTTGACTGACCAGGTGATGTTATCATAGGCCATGGAACATTTTCAAAGGAAAGAGTGGCAGAAAATATTAATCTTTCTTCAGCAGACAATATTTTTTTTTAACATGCTGGCTATCTCCCACCAAGGTGGGATGACCCAAAAAAGAAATAACATTTTCACCATCATTCACTTTATCACTTTCTTGCCTCTGGCAAGAAAGTGATAAAGTGAGCTGAAAATACCCCCACCTCTCCTTCAGAGTTCAGGCACTGTACTCTGTAGCTCCAAGATTTAAGTCCAGCTAACTGGTTTTCCTGAATCCCTTCATACTCCAACAACTTGTCAAGTCCCAGAAACCATTTGCCTCTGCTCGCTCCTATCTAACATGCTCACACATGCCTGCTGAATATCCAAGCCCCTTGCACACAAAACCTCTTTAGTCCCCTCTTTCCAACCTTTCCTAGGGTGACCCCTACACCTCCTTCCCTCCACTTCAGATTTATACACCCTCCAAGTCATACTGTTTTGTTCCATCCTCTAAATGCCCAAACCACTTTAACAACCCCTCCTCAGCCCTCTGGATAATACTGTTAGCAACCCTGCACCTCCTAATCTCCAAGCTACGAATTCTCTGCATAATATTCACACCACACATTGCTTTCAGACATGACATCATTGCCTTCAGCCGCTGCCGCCCCCTCACTGCCACATTCACAACCCATGCTCCACACTTATATACGAGTGTTGTTACAACTATACTCTCATACATTTCTGTTTTTGCCTCCATGGATAATGTTCTTTGTTTCCACAGATTCCTCATTGTTCCACCCACCTTTTTTCCCTCATCAGTTCTATGGTTCATCTCAGCTTTCATAGACCCATCCACTGATAAGTCCACTTCCAAATATCTGAACACATTCACTTCCTCTATACTCCCTTACAATCTGATATCCAATCTTTATCGAAATTGTTTGTGACCCTTTTTTTATCACCTTGCTCTTCCCTATGTTTATTTTTCATTTCCTTGTTTTACATACCTCTCCCAAATTCATCCACCAACCTTTGCAACTTCTCTTCAGAATCTTCCAAAAGATTGTCATTGGCAAACAGCAACTGTGATAACTCTCATTTTGTATTAGATTACACACATTTTAAACCTTTCAGGGTCCAGACCCCAGATTTGAAATTTGTCCACAGGGTCCAAGAATTTAAAAAAAAAAAAAAAATTATTTTTTCTTATGAAATGGTAGAGAATCTTTTTCTGAAGGTAATAAAACAAAAAGTATGAAATTTGATGGAAAATTTTGCTGCATCAGCGATATTTGTACATCAGTGATTTTGCCCACTTTGACTCCCATTTTAGGCCAATTACATTATTCCAGTTGACCAAATTCTAAGTTATTTCGCTAGTATTACTACTATTTTATCAATTGAGCACAAGAAATTGCCCAATCAACTATTTCAACTACCCAATAAAGTGATCAGAAATCTGTAATTTGACCAATTTCACAAAAAGTTCAAAATATTCCAATTTCAAAATAAGGTCCAGAATAAACAGTGCAGGCATTCCTGGCACATTTCCTCTGTTTATTAGTTATGTTTCCAGGCTTTACAAGTGAAGTCCACTTTGATTTTTTATTTACATAATGAATTTTTATTCACACCATAAAAATAAAAAATTTACTGTTATGCAATATTGTAATAATTGTATAAATAATGTTAGTGCATTCGTGAATGCATATTAGACCCACCAGCTGATGTGTATTGGACGTGTGATGTAATTTGTTTACCCTTAAACATCGACAAAAAATAAACATTACAGCTACTTTGAGCTCAATTTCAAGCTATTTTGATTACTTACACCAATCAAAATCATCTCTATTTCTGTAATATATCTTCCATTCTATCGAATGAGACCAAGAAATCGCAAATATAACCATAAAACCATACGAAAATACACCTCAAAGTTGCTGTTTTAATCCCAAAACACAGTCTGTTTTTTCTCCCATTATGCACTGCATGCTGCAGGATTTGTTTTATATGGTGCACACTTACCACATAGATGCATTCTCTATATCTAGGCCCAGATTTACCACTCACAGCTTACCTGAGTGAACTGAGCTCATGGCGTACAACTATGGCTTGGACCCTGGCTTCAAAGTTGTAGAACTACGGGACGAACCCTCAAAGTGTTAATCCCTCACTTTTCCTCAACACCCTGCATTCACTTCTTTTACAACCCCATCTATAAGTATGTTAAACAACCATGTTCACGTCACACATCCCTGTTTAAGGCCTACATTGTTTCCTACATACCCTAACCTGAGCCTCACTATGTCGTAAAAACTCTCCGCTGCTGTCAGCCACCTTCCACCTATTCCATACACTTGCAACATCTGTAGTGGGGGTTCATAGGAGATATGATGGTTGGAGTAAAACACACTTGTTGGATGGTAACACTTATATTAGTGGAGTATGAAGGGGGAGGAGAGCCCAACCTGCAAGAGCCCAACCTGCTGTGTCTTGCCTGGCGTAGACCTATGTGGGAACTGAGAGGGATCCCAGGCGCGAAGGGCTCACAACAGCGTCACGTGACGTCACACATGCTAGTCACTGAGCGTAGCAAAGGGGTCGTGTATGTGAAACATATGGATGGTACTAACTGTTATACTTAGATAAGCTATACAACACATGTAGGGGATCAGCAACTATGCTGACACATCTGCCACATTGCTTCTCCATCCACATTATCATATGCCCTTTCTAAATCCGTGAATGGAATGAAAACTTTACCTTTATCTAAATATTATTCACTTAAATGTTTCATTGTAAACACTTGGTCTACACATCCCCTGCCCTTCCTGAGGCCCCCTTGTTCATCTGTGATTAGTGCTCTCTGTCTTACCCTTAATTCTTTCATTAATAACTCTGCCATACACTTTACCTGGTACACTCAACAGGTTACTCACCTAAAATTTTTACACTCTTTTTTGTCCCTCCCCCTTCCTTCAAACAAAGGAGCTATGCACACACTACCAGTCCCTAGGTACCTTTCCCTTTTTCATACATTAATTGAACAAAAGTATCATCTGCTCCAAAACTATATCCTCACCTGCTTTTAACATTTCTGTCTTGACCCCATCAATCCCAGCTGCTTTATTCTCTTTCATTTTATCCACAGCCTCACATACCTCCCCCACACTTGCATCTGGCTCTTCCTCACTCCTAAAAGATATTATACCTCCCTGGCCAATGCATGAAATCACTGCCTCCCTTTCTTTATCAGCATTTTGAGCTGTTAAAGCTCAAAATATCCCTGCCATCTTCCCGGTACCTGTAACTCCCCACCTATAACTCCCGTCTTCTGTTTATAACTGTCAAATCCATTCGTTCCCTTGGCTTTCTCAATCTATTAATCTCGAATACTTTCTTACTCTCAGTAAAATTTGTTGTCAGAACCTCACCCACTCTCATTTGCTCTCCTTTTGCACTCCCTAACCACTATATACTCCACCCTTCTTATATATCACACTTCTGCTTTGTTAAAAACCTCTCATATGCTAATTCATTCCACCCAATCACTCCTCTTCCCTCCTACACCCACCCTTTTAAATTCACAAACTTTCACAGCACAGTCTGACAGTGCATTATTAAATCTACCCTATACCTCTTCAACCTCCTCATTACATATACTCTCACAAGCCCATCTTTCTCCCAATATTTGTTTGTATCTTATCCTAACTACCTCCTGTTGCCATTCTCTTTGTACCCCATCTGGCTCTTGTCCTCACTGTAGCTACAACTAAATAATGATCTGATATGTCTGTTGCCCCTCTATAAACATGCACACCCAGAAGTCTACCCATCAACCTTTATACCCTTACACATAGTCCAACAAACTATTGTCGTTACACCCTGTATCATATCTGTTTTTATTTATCCTCCTTTTCGTAAAATATGTACAATATTACCTATTAGCAAACCTCTTTCTGTGTTTAAAATGTGTTAATTGAACTGAAATACTGCGGTGATTCCCTCTAGACATGATTACAGGACATTTTATACAAACTGAATGTTGTTTGTACATTACTTTTATATACATTACGTTAGCCCTTATAAATTTGCGAGCTTCCTTATTTGTGGGTTTTTTAACCAACATTTTTCCTGATAAGCAATCTGGGAATAGATCTGATTATCCAAGTGGTTCACAAATGGTCCAAGTCGGACCGAAACGTCGTCGTAAGCTTCTGTCTTTTATGTGCGGGTTATTTGTGTATCGTTCCAGTCACGGTATTGTGCCTTTTTGTTATTTATTTATCCAAGTGGTTTCTGGTGGTACACATTGTTCACCTAACTGAGAACTAACCATAAGATTTTGTTTAATTGTGCTTATTGGATTTCTCGTGCACACATCTGTTCTAGCACTTTTTTCATGAATGTTGATATTAACCAGATAAGACATGTGGAGAGAATGGAGCAAAACAGAATAACTTCAAGAGTGTATCAGTCTGTAGTGGAAGGAAGGCGGGGTAGGGGTCGGCCTAGGAAAGGCTGGAGGGAGGGGGTAAAGGAGGTTTTGTGTGCGAGGGGCTTGGACTTCCAGCAGGCATGCGTGAGCGTGTTTGATAGGAGTGAATGGAGACAAATGGTTTTTAATACTTGACGTGCTGTTGGAGTGTGAGCAAGGTAACATTTATGAAGGGGTTCAGGGAAACCGGCAGGCCGGACTTGAGTCCTGGAGATGGGAAGTACAGTGCCTGCACTCTGAAGGAGGGATGTTAATGTTGCAGTTTAAAAACTGTAGTGTAAAGCACCCTTCTGGCAAGACAGTGATGGAGTGAATGATGGTGAAAGTTTTTCTTTTTTGGGCCACCCTGCCTTGGTGGGAATCGGCCAGTGTGATAATAAAATAAAAATATAAAAAGAGATTTTTTTTTCTCAAACGTCGGCCGTCTCCACTGAGGCAGGGTGGCCCAAAAAAGAAACACTTTCATCATCATTCACACATAATCACTGTCTTTGCAGAGGCGCTCAGATACGACAGTTTAGATGTCACTCCAAACAGCCAATATTCCAAACCCCTCTTTTAGAGTGCAGGCATTATATTTCTCACCTCCAGGTAACCTGTTTCCCTGAATCCCTTTAAAAAAATATTTCCCTGCTCACACCCCGACAGCTCGTCAGGTCCCAAAAACCATTCATCTCCATTCACTCCTATCTAACATGCTCACACATGCTTACTGCATGTCCAAGCCCCTTGTACACAAAACCTCATTTACTCCCTCCCTCCATCCTTTCCTAGAACAGCCCCTCCCCCTCCTCCACTGCAAAGTTTTTTTTTTTTTTTTACCATGTCAGCCATTTCCCACTGAGGCAGAATGACCCAAAAAGAAAGAAAAAACTTTGATCATCATTCAACACTCACCATCACTTGTACATAATCACTGTCTTTGCAGAGGTGCTCAGATACAACAGTTTAGATGTCCATCCAAACTGCCAGTATCCCAAATCCCTCCTCGAAAGTGCAGGCATTGTATATCCCATTTCCTGGACTCGGGTCCGGCTAACCAATTTTCCTGAATCCCTTCACAAAATATTACCCTGCTCACAATCCAACAGCTTGGCAAGTCCAAAAACCATTCGTCTCCATTCACTCGTATCTGACATGCTCACATACACTCTGGAAGTCTAAGCCCCTCCCCCACAAAACCTTCTTTACTCCTTCCCTCCAACCTTTTTGAGGGTTACCCTGCCCCACCTTCCTTTCCTTACAGATTTATACACTCTCCAAGTCATTCTACTTTGTTCCATTCTCTCTCAATGTCCAAACCACCTCAACAAACCCTCTTCAGCCTTCTGACTAATACTTTTAGTAACTCCACACCTCCTCCTAATTTCCACACTACAAATTCTCTGCATAGCATTTACACCACACATTGCCCTTAGACACGACATCTCTTCTGCCTCCAGCCTCCTCGTTGCAGCAGTTAAAACCCACGTTTCACACCCTTCTTTGCCTCTATAACGCTTTTTTTGTCTCCACAGATACCTCAACGCACCACTCGCCTTTTTTCCTGCATCAATTCTATGGTTAACCCATCTGCTGACAAGTCATCTCCTAAATATCTGAACACATTCACTTCTTCCATACTCCCTCCCTCTAATGTGATATCCAATTTTTCTTTATCTAAATCATTTGATACGCTCATCACCTTACTCTTATCTATGTTTACTTTTAGCTTTCTACCTTTGTACACCCTCCTAAACTCATCCACTAACCTTTGCAACTTTTCTTTAGAATCTCCCAAAAGCACAGTATCATCAGCAAAAAGTAACTGTGTCAACTCCCATTTTGTATTTGATTCCCCATAATTTAAGCCCACCCCTCTCCCCAACACCCTAGCATTTACTTCTTTTACAATTCCATCTATAAATATGTTAAACAACCATGGTGACATTACACATCCCTGTCTAAGACCTACTTTTACTGGGAAGTATTCTCCCTCTCTCCTACACACCCTATCCTGAGCCTCAGTGTCCTCATAAAAACTCTTTACAGCATTTAGTAACCTACTACCCATTCCATACACTTGCAACATCTGCCACATAGCTCCCCTATCTGCTCTATTATATGCCTTTTCTAAATCCATAAATGCAATGAAAACTTCCCTACCTTTATTTAAAAACTGTTCACATATATGCTTGATCTACACATCCCCTACCCATTCTAAAGCCTCCTTTTCATCTGCATTCCTGCTCTCTGTCTTATCTCTAATTTTGTCCCCCTTCCCTTTATATAATGGAACTATACATGCTCTCTGCCAATCCCTAGGTACCTTTGACTCTTTCATACATTTATTAAACAAAACTACCAACCACTCTTACACTATATCCCCTCCTGCTTTTAACATTTCTGTCATGCTCCCATCAGTTCCAGGTGCTTTACCACCTTTCATTCTACGTAATGCCTCGAGCACCTCCACCTCACTCAGTGACATCCTGCTCTTCTTCACTCCTCAAAGATGTTGTACCTCCCTGACCACTGCATGAAATTACTGCCTCCTTTTCTTCATCAACATTTAACCCTTTCAGGGTCCACAGGCCCTCTCAGAGACTTGCTCTCAGGGTCCCCCAAATTTAAAAAAAAAAAATTATTTTTTTCTTATGAAAAGACACAGAATCTTTTCCTGATCATAATGATACCAAAAGTATGAAATTTGATTGAAAACTTACGGAATTATGCTCTCGTGAAATTAGCGGACTCGACGATGTTTATGCATCAGCAATTTTGCCCATTTTTAGCCCTATTTTCGGCTAATTCCAATGTACTAGTCGACAAAAATCATAACTATTTCGCTAGAACTCCATTTTTTCTATCGAATGAGTACACGAAACCACTAATTTACCAATTTCAACTATCCAATACAGTGGTCAGAATTTATCAATTTTGCCAATTTCACACAAATTTCAAATGATGCCAATTTCCAAATAGGGTCCAGAATAAACAACAAAGACATTCCTGGCACTAAAATAACATTTCCTCTGTTCATTAGTCACGTCCCCAGGCCCCTCTTACATTTCTTTTGCTTTCCGCTTTGAATTTTTATTCTCTCAAAAAAATAAGATTTATTGTTATGCAGACTACTGCATTAGTATTGAAATGGTATAAATAATATCGGCGTACTTGTGAAAGAATATTAGACTCACCAGTTGACATGTATTGGATGCTTGGCATGATTTGTTTACTTTTGAACTTTGGTAAAAATCGAACATTTCTGCTGTTTTGAGCTCAATTTCAGGGTACTTTTCATTGTAAAACCAGTCAAAATAATCTCAATTTCTGTAATATGTCTTCCATTCTATACAATGAGACCAGGAAAACTGGAATACAACAATAAATACCATACGAAAATATAGTGCAAAGTCGCTGTTTTAATCCAAAAACACTGTCAAAGTTTTTTTTTACTCATTACACACTGTGTGCTGCAGGATTTTTTTGTACTGCACACACTGACCACATAGACCCATTCTTTCATATGTAGGCCTACCAGCTTTCTCTCACTAGATTTGAAAGCGCTAGAATTTATGCATACTAGTACGTCATGGACACTGGCACGTAAGCCGTACTAGTACAGCCGAAACCCTGAAAGGGTTAAAAGGGCCTCAAAATATTCCCACCATCTACCCAATACCTCCAGTTCCCCATCTACTAACTCCCCTACTCTGTTTTTAACTGACAGACCCATTCATTCCCTAGGCTTTCTTAACCTGTATCTTGCTTCAAAATTTTTTCTTATTCTCAGCAAAATTTGTTGACAGTGCCTCCCCCACTCTATCATTTGCTCTCCTTTAGCACTCTCTCACCACTCTCTTCACCTTTCTTTTACTCTCCATATACTCTGCCCTTCTTTTATCACTTCTGCTTTGTAAAAACCTCTCATAAGCAGTCTTTTTCTCTTTTATCGCACCCTATACCTCATCGTTTCACCAATCACTCCTCTTTTCTCCTGCACCCACACTCCTATTACCACAGACTTCTGCCCCACATTCTAACACTGCATTTTTAGAACTATTCCTTCCCTCTTCAACCTCCCCCCTTTCCCTCCTACAGCCCATACACGCACTAGCCCACCTTTCTGCCAATGGTTGCTTATATCTCACCCTAACTTCCCCCTCCCTTAGTTTATAAACTTTCACCTCTCTTATTTGCTGTTGCCTTTTTCTGAGATATGGTCTCTAAAACACAAAATAAACTTAAGGCCCTAACAATTTATTATGTGGAAAATTTTTCATTATTTGCAGTTGTAAATTTTGTGGGACCTCTAGGAATATAACCCCTTGAAGGTCCTTGAGAGGCTCTTGATCCAAGGTGTTTGACTTATTCTCCATTTCCATAGACCAAATATGATTGCCTTTCATTTCCCAGCCACTATATCACCCCTATGGGTTTATTGCTTCCCCTGACTAAAAGAAATATAATAAATAACCTGACACAAATTTGTTGGGATGACTGTAGTGGTTAAAAATGTGCTGTTTCTCCTTTTGTGTTTGCTATTTATCTATATTTTTGTGACAGCTGCTACGAAATGTCACCATTGCTTCAGGAGGAGTTCTGCCCAAGATTCACCCGGAGCTGCTTGCAAAGAAGAAAGGTGGCAAGTTTGTTACGGGGGGCAACACGCCTGTTTCTGTACCGTACAAAAAGCCTATTGCTACCAAGCCACCTGCACACAAAAAGGTACTTTTGTTGTGCTCTTAGGTAATTTTTTTTTCTTTGTAAAATTACAAGAAACTAACTAATGAGACAGCTTAGCTGTGTTTTGCTTTCCTGAGCTTTATCAAGTCAGTGTAAACAATACAAGAGTACAGAGACTACACATTGAATGAATTTGCCTCTCACAAAATGATAATTTTTCATCAGTTTTAGTAAATTCAGACCACCTTATTTGATACATCTTTTGTCATGCATTGCAATCTCTAGTTAGAGAAGAGCCTGCAAGCCTTGTGGTATTTTGTGAAATCATTGTACTGTGTCATTGTGTAGCCCCAGTCATCCCACATTAGTTTGTGTTGAAACAACTCCCCTGTTTGAAACAGTCCTAATAGTCTTAAAATTGTTTACATTCTTTTTACTTGTCTTTCTCAGTACTGTACAATACAGTGATATTAACATTGATGGACAAGAGTTAGAGCTCATACAAGCTGCTAGCCAGATCAAGGGCTTTCTGTAAAATCTTGTAAATGGAATTGCAGTTGAGACTTTCACCAGCCTGTCCAGGTAACATCAGTTCCTGGCTAGGATTCTCTGTGGTCCTCTGTAGTGTAATAGTTAAAACAAAGGCTAGTATTCCCAGGACTGCTGCACTGCTAGTTTGAATTTTGTTTACATAAGATACAATAAACCCTCATGTAGTGGACTTATATGTAATGGAACAAAATCCTCTTAAGTCAGTTGATTCAGAAATGCTGGGCTATGTTCATTGTCACAGAAAGAATCATTATTGTTACTATTATGAAAAAAACTATCTTTTCTCTCTCCACTTCCATCGTCATTATTGGACACCACTTGCTACCTTAGTAGTCATTTATATTGAGGGTTTATTTTTACATTCATTCAAACTTGCACACAAAAATCACTCTATGAAGGCAAAAGACTTGGCAGGAGATGCAATATACCCCCAATGAAAAGCAGATAAAAGATAAAAGAGAACACAGTAAGTGTCCGGGGCCCAAGACTGTTCAATTGCCTCCCAGCATACATAAGGGGGATTACCAGTAGACCTCTGGCTGTTGTCAAGAAGGCACTGGACAGGAACTTAGTCAGTACCTGGCCAACCAGGCTGTGGTTCGTACGTCAGATTGCGTGCGGCCAGCAGTAACAGCCTGGTTGATCAGACCCTGATCCATCACGAAGCCTGGTCTTGGACTGAGCCGCGGGGGCGTTGACCCCTGAAACCCTCTCCAGGTAATGATGAATTTCTTGGTAATACATGCACAGACATTTTTTTGTGTGCTATACAGTTGTTCAAGTGAAAATTTGATAAAGGTGTATTATCCTTACTAAGATATGAAATATGGATAATTTAGCCAAACCCAAAGACATTAGAAATGCATTGTTTTATTGTCTGTCAGCTGTTTGCATAAGAGCACTGTAATTTCACTGACTCTTCAGTGTTTAGAACTTTTTCTGTTGCAAATAAGACTATCCATCTCATTCTCATCCACATGACTACCCTCCTTTATTTTGCTGTTTATGAATATTACTTAGCTGTCATATCTGCTGTGTGCAAGAATAATGAGGAATGAGTCTGGACCCTTGAGAATTTGGAGCTTGATGAAATTGGCTGAAAAGTTAGATTGTTAAATACACTTATGGTGACTTGCATTCCTTGGTGATAAGGCAGTTTAATATTAATGAATCATCTGTGAGCTACTTTATGAATGAGGAGGAGCAGATTAGGGGAAACTGGTAAGCAGTAGTCCAGTTTGTACTGATGTAGTTTCAGCTTTTTGTCTCAACATTGTGGATATAGAGACTCCCCTCATTGTGTGTGGCTTGAGGACATACAGTAAAGGAGTCCCATTGAAGAGGCCTATCATATGTGAAAGAACCAGTTGAAAATTGAGAATTTTTTTTTTGATTCTTATAGTGAGAAGGTGGTATTGCACAGTTCTTTGCTCCAAGTAGGGCAGGGTTTGATAGTATGTACATCCTGCACAATGTTGAGATCATGGAAGAAATTGAATCAGCAGATTACAGGCCAGAAAATGAATATCTTCCTAAGTTCAAAGATATCATAAAGAACAGGAAATATATAAGCCAGGACAGGATATTGTATATCTTCAAGAACGAAAAATCTACTTGTGGCTTGAATACCACTAAAAAAAAAACTTGACCCTTCTTTTCTGTGAAAAAATGTATCAGGGGATTGTAACTCCCATGCTACTGCACATGCCTTCAGCCCTCATGCCCTTAAAGCATGAAAGAGGATTTTTTTGCTGGTTTCCTGGAGGTGCTGTAAGGATGTGGTTAACCAATCCATAATCAGAAAGTGGCTCTACTAATTCTTTTTACTTGTAGTTGAAGTTTACCTGAAAAAAAAAAAAAAATTCCTGTTAAAACCATCCTTCTAGATTATTCTCTTGTGGATGGTTGTGGAGACTAAACTTAAGATCATATTCTCTAAGTTTGTCCTTGCTATTACAGATGTCAGATGCTGTTTCTTGATGCCATATATATTCCTCACACACTGGCTGCTGTAATGCCTGACTCCATTTTATTAATTCAAGTTTGATTAACACTCAGATTTCCACAGTTCATTCAGCTAGTTATTACAAAATATCGGATGTTTTATCACTAAAGTAGATGTTTGGACATAATAAAATATATTATTCTAGGGTATGGCCCCTGTCTCTGTCCACACACCTTATGTTCTACATTGTTGGCCTCTCCATACAAACTGCTCTGTGTGAGATCCTTATTGCCTAGCCTTAGTCTAGCAGTGACAAGTATATTTGTAGTCTTCTGTCTTACACCATGGGCATGATATTACTATACAAATTTCAAATTGATAAGCAATACATTGGTTGGTTCTTGTCTATACTGTTCTACTTTCAACTCATGTACTAGATCTTTTCTTACAATGGTTTTGAAACTTTTGTTTGAGACACCAAAATTATGTTCATCACTATGTTTACTGCTAGCTTAACTAAGTTATTGACTTTGTCTGGGGGCCTATATGAAAGGAAGTTGACGAAAGTTTAACTTTAATTTTTTTTTCTTCCTCGGTGGGAGATGGCCGACTTGTTGAAAAAAAAAAATTGTGTCTGGTTTCATACACAAGTATATTTCATTCAGACCTCCTGCTGTTTAGAGCAAGCATAATAAGGAGGATAAGTAATCGAACATTTAAACTGGCTGTAGTTTCAAATATGTAGGCTTAGTTATGGCTATACTAAATAATACTGTTAATGATATATTGCATAGTCTGTATGCTAATAACATCTGTATGTCATGTTTTGACTTTATAATTTATTGACTATTAAATGGAAATTATGTATTTGACCAACAAAATGGTAGACAGCTGCTTGAGTCATGTGACTGCAAAATCTTTATATTTAACCTTTGCAGAAGGTTATTAATCTCAGGAAGAAATTATTCTTCTTCTTTCAACAAACCGGCCGTATCCCACCGAGGCAGGGTGGCCCAAAAAGAAAAACAAAAGTTTCTCTTTTTAAATTTAGTAATTTATACAGGAGAAGGGGTTACTAGCCCCTTGCTCCCGGCACTTTAGTCGCCTCTTACAACACGCATGGCTTACGGATGAAGAATTCTGTTCCACTTCCCCATGGAGATAAAAGGAAATAAACAAGAACAAGAACTAGAAAGAAAATAGCAGAAAACCCAGAGGGGCGTGTATATATATGCTTGTACATGTATGTGTAGTGTGACCTAAGTGTAAGTAGAAGTAGCAAGACGTACCTGAAATATTGCATGTTTATGAGACAGAAAAAAGGACACCAGCAATCCTACCATCATGTAAAACAATTACAGGCTTTCGTTTTACACTCACTTGGCAGGACGGTAATACCTCCCTGGGTGGTTGCTGTATACCAACCTACTACCTAGAAGGAAGAAATTATGTTGTATTATAAATATGAAGGGAGGCATACTGGTCCATGCTAAGCATGTTGTATGTTAAATCACTTTAATCAAGTGTAGTTTCACAGGGTATTCTATATTTTATTTTTTTACCCCATCAGCCATCTCCCATCAAGGTAGTCACCAAAAAATAATATGAAACATATTATTGTAACCATCATTCATTCATTCACTGTCTTGCTAGATATGTGTTGTCATCACAGTTCAGATTACCCTCATAATCTAATATCCCCATCTCTCCTTCAGAGTGCAGGCACTGCCCTTTCCACCTCCAAGAGTCAAGTAGACTACATTAGTGAGATACATCTTTTTTTTCCAAAGTTTAGTTTTCTTTCCAAGTGTCTTAAGGAAATATGTGCTTTGGCTCACAGAAAACTTCTGAGAGTCAGTGTGTTATACCATCACTCAATATGCTATCATTATATACACAGTGAATATAGGAATTTTTGCATCTATAGGTTTAAATCTGTATTCAGACTAAAATGAACATAGAAATGGGAGTTTATCCTTCATAGTTTGTATAACTATGAATTATGAATCTTAGTAGACATATCACCATCATGAATTAGAATTTGAAGTAAATATGGGCTAAAATATAGTTTGTGCACTTTCAATGCTTGTGGTAAAAACCTACCGACTGCAATACACTTCAGCAGATAGAAACAAAAGATGGAGGGGCTAAGAAGAAAGAGAAGGAAATAGAGAGAGAGGGTAGGGGAAGAATGAGGGATGGAATTGGGAAAGTTGCAGGGAGAGAAGTTGGGGAATAAATATGAAGGAAGATTGGGAAGACATATGGTTTTAAGATTACCATTGAACACCCAAATTTGCATTTTTCAATTAATTAATGTTTTTCCAGCAAGTAACTTCTATTATACAAGTTTTTTCCTCTATGTCTATTATGTTTTGGCTAGGTTCACAACCTAAATTGCAGTCAATCAAATGATTTTATTCAAAAAATGCTCACTGGGTTTCCCATGCCCAAAAATCTCTTCTTTATTGACATTCCTTTTAATATCTGTATGAACAAATCTTGAAGAGCAATTTGTACTGTCAGAATATAGTAGTATTCGCAGATTTGAGATTTCTCGGATCTTTAGGAACTTTTCCCTTGCAAATTTAGGGGTTTAACGTGTATAAATTTGTAATACAATGTTCATTGTGAGAGCAGACCTAGATTCCTCCCTTATTCACCCTTATTTGATTAAACCACTTCTAGTATTCACCTAATGCTATTCTACACTGCGGTTACATCTTAACATTAATATGTGTATCCTTTTCGTGATCAGATAACGACAACCAAAATGAATGGTAATGTTAGTGGAGCGACAGCAACTAGCACCACTACCACAACTATACCAAACTCTGTGTCATTGCCCAAATCTCCAAATTCTGCCTCTAATGTTACATCTGGTTAGTAGTTTCATGAGATTTTCATGTAGATTATAAGATGGTTCATTGGGAAATGCACAAGAATGTGTTCTAAGGGTTAAGTTCAAAATAAAAGTGTAGAGTTACAGGAGTGGAGTCAGTGGCATGAAGGAGGAGCAGAAAATGTAAATCTGAGAGAGAAAATCAGTGAGGATGTTTAGGAGAGAAACTGGCCATTGTATTTATGTTTCTGACTTAGTATCATTGAATTTCTACATGTTGAAGAACTTAAACTTGTAGATATGATTTTTCTGACCCCTCATTGGAGGTTCCTTGATGCTGGTGGGGAAGAGGGGAGTTGATCTAAGGAATTGGACCTGTGCTTCAATTTCTTGAAAAGATTCTGAATGCTTTCCACTTTCTTAAGTGTTGTATGCAGCTTTAGTGCTCCTCCTATGAATATAACTATTTTTTTGCAGAGTTCTGTTTTCTAGGGTTCCTGAGGCATCTCGTGTGAATTGTAAGTTGTACAAAAACAGAGGGGAGGATTAGTGATGGAGAGCTTAGAACACATTCGATATTGGTATGAATGTTGGTAGAATTACGGACAATATGTTAAGTGTTTCTTTTTTGGGCCATCCTGCCTCAGTGGGAGATGGCCGACATGTTAAAAAAAATGTTAAGTAAAAGGACACGTGCAACTAATGCAACATTTTATTGTGGCAACGATTCACTCTCCAGGAGCTGTGTCAAGCAGTAATGGTTTGACTAAGCTCCTGGAGAGCGAAACATTACTGCAATAAAATGCTGCATTCGATTCACTTGTGTCCTTTTACTTAACACTTAATATTGTTATCATTGATGAATATTCTGGGGTGTATATCATTTTGTGTTTCGCCCAAAACTGATTTAACAAATAACTAATGTTGAATGTATTAAACAATTAATTCTCACTGAATCTAGTACAGTGGACTCTTGTATTTCGTAAGGCTCAAAAGTCGCAATTTCCGGATATCGTAACATTTTTTTCATCAAAACATTGACTCGCGAATCGTCGTTTGACGCGCAAATAGTCTTTCGTCCTGGACACGTACTCCCGGCCCCGAGCTGCATCACACTCCCTTCCCAGTTAGTGTGCCATTGTTTACCAGTGAGTTAATAAGCTACCATGGCTCCATAGACCGCTCCTAGTGCCATGCCTTTGGTGAAGAAGGGGAGAAATACAACTGAATTCAAGAAAAACATCATTGAACAATATGAAAGTGGCGTACGTGTGGCCGAACTGGCCAGGATGTATTAGAAACCCATACAAACATAGCTTCCATCGTGGCCAAGAAAAAGGAAATCAAGGAAGCTGTTGTTGCAAAGGGGGTAAATATGCCGACAAAAATGAGATCGCCAGTACTTGAAGATGTTGAGAAGTTATTGTTGGTGTGGATCAATGAGAAACAATTGGCAGGAGATAGTCTTATGCAGTTGCTTATTTGTGAAAAGGCTAGGCAGTTGCATGACAATCTCGTAAAGAAATCGCCTGCAACGAGTACTGATATTTGTGAATTTAAGGCCAATAAAGGCTGGTTTGAGAGATTTAAGGACTGTAGTGGCATACACAGTGTGATAAGGCATGGTGAGGCTGCCAGTTCGGACAAAATTGCAGCTACAAAATTCGTAAGTGAATTCAAGGAGTACATACAGACTGAACAATTAAAACCACAACAAGTGTTCAATTGTGACGAAACAGGCCTCTTTTGGAAGAAAATGCCAAAGAGGACCTACATTACTCAGGAGGAAAAGGGACTGCCAGGACACAAGCCTATGAAAGACAGGCTGACACTCATGTTTTGTAGTAATGCTAGTGGGGATTTCAAAGTGAAGCCATTACTAGTGTACCATTCTGAAAACCCCAGAGCATTCAAGAAAAACAATGTTATGAAGAGTAAATTGTGTATGTTTTGAAAAGCTAATAATAAGGCATGGGTCACGAGGGAAATTTTCATCGAGTGGTTCAAGGAAGTGTTTGGCCCCAGTGTGAAGAATTACCTCCTGGAAAATAAATTTGATCTGAAGTGCCTCCTGCTAATGGACAATGCACCTGCTCATCCTCCAAACTTGGATGACCTAATTCTGGAGGAATATGGGTTCATCATAGTAAAGTTCTTGCCCCCTAATGCCGCCACTCTCCTCCAGCCCATGGACCAGCAGATCATTTCAAACTTTAAAAAACTACACCAAAGTAATGTTTCAAAGGTGCTTTAATGTGACCTCAGACACTCACTTGACCCTAAGAGAGTTTTGGAAAGATCACTTCATTATCCTCCATTGCATAAGCCTTATAGGTAAGACTTGGGAGGGAGTGACTACCAGCACTTTGAACTCTGCTTGAAGAAAATTGTGGCCAGATTGTGTCCACAAGAGGAATTTTGAACAGTTTGGGGCTGACCCTGACGAGCCTATGGCAGTTGTGGAATCTGTTGTGGCATTGGGGAGTTCCATGGGGTTGGATGTGAGTTTGGAAGACGTGGAAGAGTTGGTGGAGGACCACAACGAAGAGCTAACCACTGAGGAGTTGCAAGAGCTTCAGCTGGAGCAGCAACAGACCACAGCTCAGAATATTGCTGCAGAGGAGGAGGAAGAGAGATGGAAGAAGAAGCCATGTCGGCAATATGTACAGTGACAGTCTTGGCCCATTTTAGGGAAGTTTTTAAGAGATGCCAGAAACAGAGCTCACTGGACACTTTTTTTTTGCAAGACAGCTCCGTGACTCAAGCTGGTCCTAGTGGCATTAAGAAACAGAGAAGAGAAGTGACCCTTGGAAAGGACTTGGTACCTGAGGTGTTGATGGAAGGGGACTCCCCTTCCAAACAGTAATTCAATCTCTCTCCTCCTCCAGTCTTCCATACACCAGAAAGAATTGCCAATAAAGGTAAGTGTTATGCTGTTAATGTTTCATTCATCATGTCCCATTGTATTGTGTATGTACTACATCTATATTTCATGTAAAAAAAATTTTTTTGTTTTAATACTTCTGGGTGTCTGGAACGGATAATTTTTTTTTTTTCAACAAGTCGGCCGTCTCCCACCGAGGCAGGGTGACCCAAAGAGAAAGAAAATCCCCAAAAAGAAAATACTTTCATCATCATTCAACACTTTCACCTCACTCACACATAATCACTGTTTTTGCAAAGGTGCACAGAATGCAACAGTTTAGAAGTATATACGTATAAAAATACACAATATATCTCTCCAAACTGCCAATATCCCAAACCCCTCCTTTAGAGTGCAGGCATTGTACTTCCCATTTCCAGGACTCAAGTCCAGTTATATAAAATAACCAGTTTCCCTGAATCCCTTCACTAAATATTACCCCGCTCACACTCCAACAGATCGTCAGGTCCCAAATACCATGTCTCCATTCACTCCTATCTAACACGCTCACGCACGCTTGCTGGAAGTCCAAACCCCTCGCCCACAACACCTCCTTTACCCCCTCCCTCCAACCTTTTCGAGGATGACCCCTACCCCACCTTCCTTCCCCTACAGATTTATATGCTCTCCATGTCATTCTACTTTGATCCATTCTCTCTAAATGACCAAACCACCTCAACAAACCCTCTTCAGCCGTCTGACTAATACTCCACACCTTCTCCTAATTTCCACACTCCGAATTTTCTGCATAATATTTACACCACACATTGCTCTTAGACAGGACATCTCCACTGCCTCCAACCTCCTTGCTGCAGCATTTACAACCCAAGCTTCACACCCATATAAGAGTGTTGGTACTACTATACTTCCATACATTCCCTTCTTTGCCTCCATAGATAACATTTTTTGCCTCCACATATACCTCAATGCACCACTTGCCTTTTTTCCTTCATCAATTCTATGATTAACCTCATCCTTCATAAATCCATCCGCTGACACGTCAGCTCCCAACTATCTGAAAACATTCACTTCTTCCATACTCCTCCTCCCCAATTTGATATCCAATTTTTCTTTATCTAAATCATTTGATACTCTCATCACCTTACTCTTTCCTACGTTCACTTTCAACTTTCTACCTTTACACACATTCCCAAATTCATCCACTAACCTTTGCAATTTTTCTTTAGAATCTCCCATAAGCACAGTATCATCAGCAAAACGTAATTGTGTCACTTCCCATTTTGTATTTAATTCCCCATAATTTAATCCCATCCCTCTCCCGAACACCCTAGCATTTACTTCTATTACAACCCCATCTATAAATATATTAACCCTTTGACTGTTTCCGACGTATAAATATGTCTTACGAGCCAGTGTTTCTGACGTATTTATACGCACAAATTCTAGCGGCTTCAAATCAAGCGCCAAAGGCCTGGTAGGCCTACACGAGAGAGAATGGGTCTCAGTGGTCGGTGTGCACCCCGTGAAAAAAATCTGGGACCCAGTGGTGCATTGTGGGAACGCCATGTTGTTAGTCCATTTTCTCCATGCCTCTCGGTAAGAAGTTCCTCACTCCTCGGCAGATTGGAGATCTTTTGTTCCCAAGTGATAGCTCTAACAGCGATGAAAATGTCAGTGACAGTGAATTCCAGGGTTTTGAAGTGAGTGTTACCGGAAAAAGTGCCCAGGATAACGTAATTAGTGATGAAAACCCAGATGACCCACAACCTTCCACCTCTGGTGCTGTGCTGGCTTGTTCACGTTCGCCTGTACCAGGACGAAAGAGGAAACTATTTGGTCGTGTACAACACCCAGATGATAGCAGTGATAGTGATAGTGATAGTGATTTCAAGGTCATTGAAAGCAGTTCTAGTGACAGTGAGAATGAATTTTCCCCAGTGAAGCGGCAGTATGTACGACGTAGCATGCGGTCTGGTAGTGTTTCATATGTTGTTCCAAGGGGAAGGAGAAACTCTGGGAGCACATCCCGTGGCCCTACACCACGACCTGATAGTGAAGATGACGATTTTGTAACGATGGGTATGAATGGTGACAGTGAGGGAGGAGGCAGTGGTGGTGATAGTGAGGATGGCACGGCCCATGTGGCACCATCAGCG